ATGCACCAGACATCCCGACTCCTCGATCGTACGCTGAGGCGATCAAGGGTCCCTACTCCTCACAGTGGTAGTCAGCCATGGACGCAGAGAAGGCTACCTTGAAGTCCACAGGCACCTACGTCGACGAGGTTCCCCCACCTGGGGCGAACATCGTCAGTGGCATGTGGGTTTTCAGGGTGAAGCGGCCGCCGGGTTCTCCGCCTGTCTTCAAGGCGCGTTACGTGGCTCGAGGCTTCAGTCAGCGGCAGGGAGTTGACTACTTTCAGACCTTCTCTCCCACCTCGAAGATGACCACTCTTCGGATGCTACTACACATACCCGCTCAGCGTGACTACGAGCTTCACTCTCTTGACTTCAATGCTGCTTTCCTACAGGGCAGCCTGCACGAGGAGATCTGGCTGCGCCGCCCACCTGTCTTCACTGGGTCTTTTCCTCCTGGTACCCAGTGAAGCCTTCGGCGGCCAGTCTATGGTCTCCGCCAGGCGCCCCGTGAGTGGCACGACACACTGAGGACCACACTTGCGGCTCTTGGGTTTGCTCCTTCTACTGCCGACCCGTCGTTGTTTCTACGCACCGACACCTCTTTGCCGCCGTTCTACATCCTCGTGTACGTCGACGACTTGGTCTTTGCCACTGCTGACACTGCTGGACTCGCCCACGTGAAGTCCGAGCTGCAGAAGAGACACACGTGCACAGACCTGGGTGAATTGCGCAGCTACCTTGGCTTGCAGATCACCCAGGACAGAGCACAGCGCACCATTACCCTGACTCAGTCACACATGGTGCAGCAGGTCCTTCAGCGCTTCGACTTCACGTACTCCTCGCCTCAGGCCACTCCTGTGTCTACTCGCCACTCGCTCTCAGCTCTGCCTTCGGATGAGTCCGTAGAGCCGAGTGGCCCGTACCCAGAGCTTGTTGGCTGCCTCATGTACCTGATGACCTGCACTCGACCTGACCTTGCATACCCTCTTAGCATCTTGGCGCGCTATGTTGCTCCTGGGAGACACAGACCTGAGCACATGGCTGCAGCGAAGAGGGTGTTGCGCTACTTGTGCAGTACGTCGGGCATGGGGCTAGTGCTTGGAGGTCGACGTTCAGTGGTCCTCACAGGTCAGGCAGACGCTTCTTGGGCTGACGACCAGGCTACGCAGCGGTCGTCACAGGGTTACACCTTCAGCCTTGGTTCCGGCTCTGTTTCGTGGCGGTCTACCCGCTCGTCTTCTGTTCTCGGCTCCTGCTGTGAGGCTGAGATCTACGCGGGGGCCATGGCTGCACAGGAGCTATGCTGGCTCACCTACCTGTTGACTAACTTAGTAGAGCCGCCTCGTTCTCCTCCAATTCTGTACGTAGACAACAAGGCCATGCTGGCCTTGTGTCGGGAGCACAGACTGGAGCACAGAACGAAGCACATTGCTCTTTGCTACTTCCTTGCTCGTGAGCTGCAGCAGCGTGGTCAGCTGCGCCTTGCTTACGTGGCCTCTGAGGCCAACACTGCTGATATCTTTATCAAGGCACTTCCGCCTTGTGATCATCAACGCTTCTGTACTGTGCTAGGTCTTGTGCCTACTTGGCCTCACTTGCTCACTTCTTGACCTTGCTTGTACTGTGATCTTTCTATACCTGCACTTGCTTGTTTACCTTTATATATGATCTTGCATGTGAACTGGCCTTGAGGCCTTGAACTTGTGCTCGTAATGTGTGGTGACGTTGTGATCCACCGTGAGCTTGCTCTGCTTTGCTTGACTGGTCTTGTGACCTATTGTTCTCCCCCACTTTGCCTATGGGAGTGGGTCAAACTCATATGCTTTAGTCTGTGTAGGCTGTAGTGGGGTAGACAATATGGGGTACAACACTTTTACGTTTTCCTACTCGTACCCACCTGCTTGCTAGTTCATTCATTCCTCATTTCTTCACGATTATCACCATTTTCCTCCATTTAGCGATTTACGGAAGATTTGCGACGAAAATAATTGGATTCTAGGCGCTGGTCATCTTACTGTGAGTCGAATTGACTGTAGAATTGACAAGCGCTGATTCTGTAGGTCGCGTAATTCTTCCTTGGATTGCAAGGTCAGGTCGAGTGCAGGTCATCAGGTACATGAGGCAGCCAACAAGCTCTGGGTACGGGCCACTCGACTCTACGGACTCATCCGAAGGCAGAGCTGAGAGCGAGTGGCGAGTAGACAGAGGAGTGGCCTGAGGCGAGGAGTACGTGAAGCCGAAGCGCTGAAGGACCTGCTGCACCATGTGTGACTGAGTCAAGGTGATGGTGCGGCGTGCTCTGTCCCGAGTGATCTGCAAGCCAAGGTAGCTGCGCAGTTCACCCAGGTCTGTGCACGTGTGTCTCTTCAGCAGCTCGGACTTCACGTAGGCGAGTCCAGCAGTGTCCGCTGTGGCAAAGACCAAGTCGTCGACGTACACGAGGATGTAGAACGGCGGCAGTGAAGTGTCGGTGCGCAGAAACAGCGACGGGTCAGCAGTAGACGGAGCAAACCCAAGAGCCGCAAGCGTAGTCCTCAGTGTGTCGTGCCACTCACGCGGTGCCTGGCGGAGACCGTAGACTGGCCGTCGGAGGCTCCACTGGGTGCCAGGAGGGAAAGTCCCAGTGAAGCCAGGTGGACGGCGCAGCCAGATCTCCTCGTGCAGGCTACCCTGCAGGAACGCAGTGCTGAAGTCGAGAGAGTGAAGCTCGTAGTCGCGCTGAGCGGCTATGTCCAGCAGCACCCGAAGAGTGGTAATCTTCGGGGTGGGAGAGAAGGTCTGAAAGTAGTCAACTCCCTGCCGCTGACTGAAGCCACGAGCAACGTACCGCGCCTTGAAGACAGGTGGAGAGCCCGGCGGCCGCTTCACCCGGAAGATCCACATGCCACTGACGATGTTCGCCCCAGGAGGGGGAACTGCGTCAACGTAGGTGCCTGTGGACTTCCAGGAAGCCATCTCTGCATCCATAGCTGCCTGCCACTGAGAGGAGTAGGGACCCTCTACGGCCTCCGCGTAAGAGCGCGGAGTCGGGATGTCTAGTGCATCCGGGTCTCCCTCAGGAGCAAGCAGTACACACGCGAGATGAGGTGAAGCAGCAGCCAGACACTGTAACTCAGGGTTGAAAACAAATAAAATGACACGAAAAAAAAAAAAAAAAAAAAAAAAAACACACCTGAAGGGGCAGGAACCTGAGGGGGGAGGGGGTCTACCGGGGGGGGAACTGGTACCAGGAAGTCCGGTGGGGGGGGGAGGGAAGGAGTACGGTAGGGGAAGAGGCGGTAGAAGGGGACTGACTCGTCGAACGTGACGTCCTGGGAGGACAGAACACGACGAGAGGAGGGGTGGTAGAACTGCCACCCTGGAGCGTCAGGGGGGAAGCCAAGGAAGACACAGGGAGCAGCACGGGGGGACACCTTGTCCGCAGACAAGTCGCGGACAAACGCCCAAGATCCCCAGACACGGAACGCAGACGCATCGCCGACCTTCCCCGTCCACGGTAACACTGGGGACATATCGGGCCGAGAGACCTTGGGGTGAAGGTTGAGCTGATGCGCCGCGTACCGAACCGCAAACGGCCACAGAAAATGGGGGGCAGCCGCATGCATCATGGACGTACGAGCGACATCCATGACCATGCCAATGCGGCGCTCAGCAATCCCATTTTGCTGTGGAGAGTCCGGAAGCGTAAAGGTCTGGCGGATCCCCTGTGCACGACAGTAGTCTCGCAGAAGGCGAGAGGAGAACTCCCCACCTCGGTCAGAGTGCAGACGCAGAACAGGAAAGTCCGAGCCGAAGCTCCTCCTGAGCTGGAGACGAGCCTCGCGGATCCAGTCGATCAGCACCTCAGTGACAGCACCCTTGCTGCGCAAGGGGAAGACTGAGGTGTAACGCGAGTAGTCGTCAACCACCAACAGGAAGTAGCGCTCGTGACCCTGCCCACGGACGGGGGCCGGGCCCCACACGTCCATGTGAAGCGTCTGCAGAGGAGCCTCTGTCGGGGGAAACTGGGAGGAGTGAGGAGCAGCCCTGAGGCGCCCCTCGCCACAGGGGACACAGGAAGTTCCTGGTCCCGAAGGAAGGGGAGGGAGAGACTGGGGAAGACCAGAGACAAGGACACGGGAAGCCATGCCCCGAAGACGGGGCAAGGAGGGGTGGCCTAGACGGTGGTGCCACAGAAGAGTCTCGTGAGACAGGAGGCGACACGAACAGGGGGCAGACTCAGGACCAGACCTGGACGCAGCAGCAAACACCTGACCCGACGCTGCTACCTGACCGGACGCGGGGACAGGAGGAGACTCAGTGGTCAGGGTGTAGAGGCTCGACCCCGGCCGACGCGAGAACGTGGCCAGGTGCCGGCCTGTGCGTGCGTCCGTGCAGTGGGTCACCCGCTGACTCGCAGGAGTGAACTGGTGAACCCCCGCATCCTGTAGGTCTGCACCACTCACCAAGTTCGTCGAGAACGAGGGGAGGTACAGGCCAGACAGGGTGCCCGAGGGGGCAGCCGGACACGGGAGGACAGTGGAAAAGTGAGCGAGGACAGGACCCCCAGAGGGGTCAGCCAGGGAGACTGCAACCGGCCGACCAAGCGGCGTGAGTGTGGTGCGGTCCCGAAAGAAGGAGCGAGAAGCCCCAGAGTCAAGTGTAAAGGTGAGGGAGGCCGAAGCCAACGCGGTACCTGAGAGCGCAGCCTCACCCGCACCTGAGGAAGCAGACTCACTAGCACCTAGAGCAGCAGCCGCACCTGTACCTGGAGCAGGAGACTCACGAGCACCCAGAGCAGTAGCCTCACCAGTAGCTAGAGCAGCAGGTCCTATACCTGGGTCAGGCGGGACGCACAGGTGACCGGCACGGTCAGCACTAGTAGGCAATGCATACATGGCAGTGAGAATAGCATCATAGTCAAGAGCATATATATCGACCCTCTGCCTAAGCAACTCCACCCAGTCGGGAAGCTCAGCCTCGTCGCCAAACACGGTACGCCAGGCGTCGCTCAGACGGGCGAAGCAGCGGGACGGTGTATGACTACGTGTCCCACAAGGCTGACCAGTCCGAGTACCAGTGCGTATCACGTAAGAGCAGCGAACAGCACTGAGAGACCCTCCACTCTGAGCGTACCACTCACGAAGCTGGCGAGGCGTGAGAGACACGCGAGAGGGTCGGGGGAGCTGCATCTGGCCGCCACCACGAGTAGAAGCAGCAGGAGTGGTAGTAGGAGTAGCGCCGCCACCCCTACAGCCCCAACCAGCGTACCACTCACGCAGCTGCTGGGGCGTGAGGGACTCACGCAGGCGTTGCTGGGGCTGCATCTGGCTCCGCAAGTAGAAGCAGGAGCAGGACTAGCAGCAGGAAGGCAGGCAGCCAGGCAGGCAAGCAGGCGACGCGCAGCGTGCTAGCAGGGCAAGAGCTCACCAGTGGTGGGAAGAGTAGGCTCGGCGACTCAGCGGCTCGGCAGCTCGGCGGCTCGGCGGCTCGGGCGACTCGGGCGGCTCGGCGGCAAGGCGGCTCGACAGCAACTGCAGCTCAGCAGCTCGGTGACTCGGCGGCTCGGCGGCAGGGCGGCTCGGCAGCAACTGCAGCTCAGCAGCTCAGCGACCCGGCGGCTCGGCGGCAGGGCGGCTCGGCTGCTGGGCGGCTCGGGTGCAGGGCGGCTCGGCGGTGGGGCGGCTCGGCTGCTGCAGGTGAGCGGCTCGGCTGCTGCAGTGGGAGATGAAGGAGGAGGAGAAGCAGGGGAGGCCACACACCTGACACCCCTCTGCTGGCCTCTCAGGTCGCCTCGACAGGCGACGGGAAAAGGGGGGGGGGGTGGTGGGGGCCGGTAGGTGCAGCGGCGGGGCCAGCAGGTGCAGTTGCGGGGCCGGTAGAAGGGGACGGCAGGAGCCGTCAGGAGGGGACGGCGGGGCCGTCAGGAAGGGACGGCGGGGCCGTCACGAAGGGACGGCGGGGCCGTCAGGAGGCGACCGGGCCGCGAAGGGGCGGCTGGGCCGGGATGGGGCGGGGCCGCGACGGAGGCAGGCGGCGGGGCCGCGTAAGGGCCTGGGCGGGGCCGCGACAGAGCCGTCAGCGGGGCCGCGTGAAAGCCGGGGCGGGGCCGCGTAGAAGCCGGGGCGGGGCCGCGCGAGAGCAGGCGGCGGGGCCGAGTAAGGGCCTGGGCGGGGCCGCGACAAAGCCGTCGGCGGGGCCGCGTGAAAGTCGGGGCGGGGCCGCGTAGAAGCCGGGGCGGGGCCGCGCGAGAGCAGGCGGCGGGGTCGCGAAGGAGCCGGGGCGGGGCCGCATGAGAGCAGGCGGCGGGGCCGCGTAAAGGCCGGGGCGGGGCCGCGACAGAGCCGGCGGCGGGGCCGCGTGAAAGCCGGCGACGGGGCCGCGTAAGGGCCGGCGGCGGGGCCGCGTCAGTGAAGGCGGCGGGGCCGCAGGGGAAATGGCGACCCGAGGGGTCGCTAAAAAAAATCGCGCCTCGGGGGGCGCTTCGGTGGGCCCAAAAAACGGTCCTTAGAAGGACCCGCTCTATACCATGTGATAATAAGCAAACAGGAATAAAATGACTAAGTCAGGGTTGGGTACAAATACAACCCTAGAAAGCTGTACCCCACATGTGCTACCCCACTATAGCCTACAAACATGCATCAGCTATAGTAATCTGACACTCCCTCCCCTTCCCCCGGGGCCTGCCCCTACCTGCGTTCCTTGCGTCGAGGGGCGGCAGCGCACCGATCCTCACTCCTCCGAGTTCCCTCCGTCGGAAGCTCCCCTGCTGACGCTTCACATGGACGTGTGGGGCCCAGCCCGTGTCCGTGGCCAGGGTCACGAGCGCTACTTTCTGCTGGTCATTGACGACTACTCGCGTTACACCACCGTCTTCCCCTTGCGCCGCAAGGGTGAGGTCACTGAGGTGCTGATCGACTGGATCCGCGCTGCCGGTCGTCACCTCAGCGAGAGTTTCGGCTCGGAACTTCCTGTTTTGCGTCTGCACTCCGACACAGGTGGAGAGTTTTCCTCCGACCTTCTGCGAGCCTTCGGTCGTGCGGAGGGCATCCGCCAGACGTTCATGCTTCCGACCTCTCCGCAGCAAAATGGGATTGCTGAGCGCCGCATTGGCATGGTCATGAATTTCGCTCGTACGTCCATGATCCATGCGGCTGCTCCCCATTTTCTGTGGCCGTCCGCGGTTCAGTACGCTGCGCACCAGATCAACCTTCAGCCTCGTGTCTCCTTGCCGGAGACCACACCTACTCTGCGGTGGACGGGGAAGGTTGGCGGTGCGTCTGGGTTCCGTGTTTCGGGATCTCGGGCTTTCGTCTGCAACTTGTCTGCGGACAAGCTGTCCTCCCGTGCTATTCCCTACGTCTTCCTTGGCTTCCCCACTGACGCGCCAGGTTAGCAGTTTTACCACCCCACCTCGCGCCGTGTTCTGTCCTCTCAGGACATCACGTTTGACGAGTCGGTTCCTTACTACCGTCTCTTCCCCTACCGCACTGCCCCCCTCCCCCCCCGCCGCCGCTCTTCCTCGCGCCACGTCCTCCCCCGGTAAACCCCCTCCCCCCTCAGGGTCCTGCCCCCTCAGGTGTGTCGCAGGTAGACGCAGTCGAGCCTGTCGAGGTAGCTGTTGACTCTGGTGCTGCTAGGGGTGCTGAGCCTGCGGGTGCGGGGTCCGGGGGTGCTGAGCCTAAGCGTGCGGAGCCAGGGGGTGCTGAGTCTAGGGGTGCTGAGCCTGGGATTGCTGATTCTGGGGGTGCGGAGCCTGAGGGTGCTGAGCCTGCGCGCGTGGAGTCTGGAGGTGCTGCGCCTGGAGGTCCTTCGGGTGCTTCGTCCCGACAGGAGCCACTCTCTCCACAGCAGCTGCGCGAGTGGTTTGCTTGCCGCTGGAGCCGTGCTGCTAGAGCTGCTGGTGCTACAGGCGTTGGAGGTCCTGCTGCTGCTGAAGCTGCTGGAGGTTCTGGAGCCACTAGTCTCGGAAGTGCTCGTACTGGAGGTACTGGAGCTGCTGGGCCTGGTGGAGCTGCTGGAGCAGGTGCTGCTGGAGGTACCGGGGCTGGAGGTGCTGGCGCTGCTGGGGCTTCTAATCGTCCTGCTGGAGCTGGAGCTGCTGGAGGTGTTGGAGCTGGAGGGCTGCTGGAGACGGTGCTCCTGTGGGTGCTGGAGTTGGCGCTACTGGAGCAGCTGGAGGTGCTGCTGGAGCTGGTGGTGCTACTGGAGTTGGAGCTCCCGCTGGGGGTGCTGGTGCTGTCCCTGCTAGTTCTGGAGGCGCTGCGCGGCCGCGGCCCTACTACGTTCCGCTCCTTCAGCAGGTTCTTGGTCTCCCGCCTTCTACTGGTCCCGCTCCTTCCTTAGAGTGTCCACCGCTTGTCCAGTCGCAGTCACAGTTACAGCCCGCCTTCCCACTGCCTGCTCCTTCTCCTTACACTAGTCCGACCGGAGGTCTTGCTGAGCGTCGTGAGCCTACGTCTTGTCCTGCGTCGCCTCTTCGTGATGCTAGCACTAGTCGTTGTGGTTCGCGTCAGCGTCCTCCCCTGTCCCTGGCACGCACCGGATGGCTCTGCGCCCTTCTACTGCTCCGCAGCGTGTCCCTCTGCCGTCTCCTCTTGCGTCCTCTCTTCCTGCCCTTGCTGACCCGGAGTCTGACTCCGTTCGTGCTGCTAGTCATACTGTCACGCGTCTCCTGGCCACTGTTGTCATTGACCCTTCCTTTGAGTCCACTGCTGCGTCTGCCTTTGTTGCTGAGCTTGTCGACTTTGCTGCTCACTGTCGTTTAGACTACGCCGCGAGTCTTGTTGCTGGGTCCGAGTCTGTATGTCCTCCGTCCGTCCGGGGTGAGTGTGCTCTTGGCATGGATGTCCTTGAGGACAGGCAGGAGGACTTTGAGTGCTTTGCAGCTGCTTCATCTCGTGTCCATGCTCATTGCACCTGAGGGAGACCCGGATACACCAGACATCCCGACCCCGCGCTCTTACGCAGAGGCGATAGAGGGTCCCTACTCCTCTCAGTGGTTGTCAGCCATGGATGCAGAGATGGCTTCTTGGAAGTCCACAGGCACCTACGTCGACGAGGTTCCCCCTCCTGGGGCGAACATCGTCAGTGGCATGTGGATTTTCAGGGTGAAGCGGCCGCCGGGTTCTCCGCCTATCTTCAAGGCGTGTTACGTTGCTCGAGGCTTCAGTCAGCGACAGGGAGTTCACTTCTTCCAGACCTTCTCCCTGACCCCGAAGATGAGCCTCTTCGGGTTCTGGTGCACGTTGCTGCTCAGCGTGACTACGAGCTTCACTCTCTTGACTTCGGCATTGCTTTCCTACAGGGCAGCCTGCACGAGGAGATCTGGCTGCGCCGCCCACCTGGCTTCACTGGGCTGTTTCCTCCTGGTACCCAGTGGAGCCTTCGGCGGCCAGTCTACGGTCTCCACCAGGCGCCCCGTGAGTGGCACGACACACTGAGGACTACGCTTGCGGCTCTTGGGTTTGCTCCTTCTACTGCTGACCCGTCGCTGTTTCTGCGCACCGACACTTCTTTGCCGCCGTTCTACATCCTCCTGTACGTCGACGACTTGGTCTTTGCTACTGCTGACACTGAGGGACTTGCCCACGTGAAGTCGGAGCTGGAGAAGAGACACACGTGTACAGACCTGGGTGAAGTGCGCAGCTATCTTGGCTTGCACATGGCACTCTAGAGCCGAGTGGCCCGTACTCAGAGCTTGTTGGCTGCCTCATGTACCTGATGACCTGCACTCGACCTGACCTGGCATACCCTCTTAGCATCTTGGCACGCTATGTTGCTCCTGGGAGACACCGACCAGAGCACATGGCTGCAGCTAAGAGGGAGTTGCGCTACCTGTGCAGTACCTCGGGCATGGGGCTCGTGCTTGGAGGATGACGTCGAGTTGTCCTCACTGGTCACGCAGACGCTTCTTGGGTTTATTACTTGGCTACGCAGCGGTTGTCACAGGGTTACACCTTCAGCCTTTGGTTCCGGCTCTATTTCGTGGCGGTCTACCCACTCGTCTTCCGTTCTCGGCTCCAGTTCTGCGGTTGAGATCTACGCTGGGGCCATGGCTGTACAGGAGTTACGCTGGCTCACCTACCTGCTGACCGACTTGGGAGAGGCGCCTCGTTCTCCTCCAGTTCTGTACGTCGACAACAAGGCCATGCTGGCCTTGTGTCAGGAGCACAGACTGGAGCACAGAACAAAGCACATTGCTCTGCGCTACTTCCTTGCTCGAGAGTTGCAGCAGCGTGGTCAGCTTTGTCTTGCTTACGTGGCCTCTCGGGCCAACACTGCTGATATCTTTACCAAGGCACTTCAGCCTTGTGATCATCAGCGATTCTGTACTATGCTAGGTCTTGTGCCTACCGGGCCTCACTTGCTTACCTCTTGACTTTGTTTGTACTATGATCTATATATACGTGCACCTACATGCTTACCCTTGCTAGGTTGAGATCACTGTCTTGCTTGTTCACCTTGCTTTATAATCCTGTATGTGAACTGGCCTTGTGGCCTTGAACTGGTGCTCTGAATGTGTGGTGAGAGTGTACTGCTCCCCTCCGACTCCTTTCGCGGTGAGTACCAGGAAGTCGCTATAAACCTTCTCCACCGGTTTGTATCGTTCGGCTCCTGGATTTTTTTCGGCGAAGGGTGTGTGGCGGAGCGCGGCTGCCGAGCAGACGGTCTAGGTAGGTAGGTCGGTTCGTGGTTTCAGCAGCTTTCCATCGGGCAGCAACAGTGGGTCTGCCGCAAAAACATTTGCGTTGATGCAGTTGTTGAGTAACTCGATTGATGGGTGTCCCATGCGTTGATGCCAGATGTCTCTGTCGGCCTGATATCCCTTAGTGCGTGCGTACAGCTCCTTCTCTCGTGCTAATATCTCCTCCGCTGTCACTTTTCTTGTTTTATCCGCAGGTTCGTTGGGCACGGTGACTTGTACTGCCGCTGCTTGGATTGTCACGCCATGATATGTTCCGCTGGTGTTGCCGATGGTGACAGTGTCCATCGTCACCGGTAGCTCCATTGGCTTCTTAGGGGGCGGGGGTGAGGCCCGTGCGCGACAATCTTCGGGTTGCGTGATTTCTTCTTCTTCGAAGTATGTATCGCCGATCGTCACTCCCCTTGTCTCGAGGTGAAGATAATCCCTGCCGTCCGTTGTGATGGGAATCAGGTGAGGTCCGTATTCCGTCAGTAACTCTTCCTCCTCTGCTTCTGGTGTCTCTCCAGTGATTTCCGGTTCTC